CAAAAAAAAAAAAAACCCTTATATCAATGCACATGCATTTATATATTTGAGAAATACACAAATTAGAAAATACATGTGAACAGATTATTTTCTTCTGATTCTTGAGGATATAATATCACAATATTTATAACAGATGAGGAAAAATGGGTTCTTTTGTCATATGTCTGGTTATCTAATGTTAGCTATATGACTGCTCAAATGCAAAACGGCTTAGCTAAACATGGGGACCCTTGTAGACGCCCTTGTCCAATACAGATCACTTGGAAACTCTGAACAAACCTAGTAGGGGAAAAATTGATAAAATGCCAAACTCTGCATTTGTATTTGGAGTAATCTGAGGGCCAACTCCATCACCATCTTGCCCTTTGATTTTCCTGATCAGGAATGTGTTTTTTCACTACCTCTGCTTAGAAGCATGAACAGAAGATATATTCCTGCTCTTCCCTAAACCTGTAAACATTATACATTTCAGGTTCAAGAGTATGGTGACAAGAGCTTTAGTTTTCAAGGTAAACATCCACTTCCATACAAACTTTGGCTAATATTACTGAAGTACTTCACAGTATTTTGGAAATGAAATCAGAAAATGTTTTTTTTTTTTTTTTGTAAAAGTCATTTGATGATTTATGTTAAGTACCCTGATGCAAGAAATTGAAATTCATTACATAATAAAAACCAAAACTAGCTTATGGTACAAAAAGAATAAAAAACTAAAACATGTCTGTGCCTTTAATGAAGTCTACACCACAGAGCAAGCAGAGTTAAGCAAAAGCAATCACAATCAAAACAATTCCAAAAATCAACACTTACCCATATTTTGCAAAATTTGCCCAGTAGTTCATGATGGATCTGCTCAAAATTTCCTCAGCTCTTGTGTAGTTAACTCTTCTTTCCAGAGGCAAACCAAAGACAAACTCAATTTCATAACCATGCATCACTCCCATCCATTCTGGCCAAGGAAGTTGGGAAGATCGGTGTTCAAAATAGTAGAAAAAGGCATTATTTCCCAATTCTGAGAATTTTGTGGTGAACTCCAATGCAGGGCATATGATATTGTAATCTCCAAGAACATCATCCAAGGCCTCACGGTACTTTTCAGCTCTCTGATCATCTAACAAGTCCACATAATAAAAAAGAATCGCTTCCCTTCCAAATTCACTCACTCCTGGAAAATATATTTTTAAACCTTCTTGAAATTCTTTTCTAGTTATGATACTGTCATTATCTTTGCTGAAACCAGGAGCACCATATACTAAAAATGCTGTCCCTTCATCTTTATTAACACCCACCAAGATCTGGGTTTTTTTGAACTGTCCAAGTTGGAGTAGTGTGTCTGGCATATCAGTGAGAAAATCACCATCCACGACTGGACCAAAGTTTACAGATAAAAGAGTATCAGAGGGGACAACCAATAGTTCATTCAGTAGAATTTCCTGGGGATCTTTGTTTCGAAGGCATTTGATTATCTCTGTGTCATTTTCTTTAGAGCAACCAATAAATTTAGCTAAGGTCAGTGTTCTGTTCTTGGCTTCATCCAGAGACATTACTGCCCAAGGGGCATTAGAGGATCCACTTTGCAGAATGGCTCTGGTAAACAATGGCTGGCTTCTAGGAGAAAGTAAATGAAGGCTAACTGAACCCGCCCCTGCACTTTCTCCAAAGAGAGTTACGCTTTTAGGATTTCCACCAAAGGCTGCTATATTTTTTTGGACCCACTGTAGTGCCAACTGTTGATCAAATAAGCCCATGTTCCCTGGTACCTCAGGATTTCCTGGTAAAGCTAAGAATCCTAGGGCACCCACCCTATAGTTCATTGAAACTACAATAACTCTTTCAACCCGAGCCAGAAACTTGCCATCATAAACAGGTAAAGATGATGTTCCGGTTTGAAAACCACCACCATAGATCCATATCATTACAGTAGCATTTTTTGGTTTAGGTGTTGGAATCCACACATTCAGGTATAAACAGTCTTCACTGAGATCAGTGTTTGGGTTCCACATCTCTGATCCAGGGAAGCCTGGGAAACTTTGATCTGCATTCTGATAGCAAGAATTTGCATATTTTGTGGCATTCCAAATATCGGACCACTTGGTCAAGAATTGTGGCTTTTTGAATCGAAGTCTACCAAGAGGTGGCTGTGCATAGGGAATTCCCAGAAAGGCTGTCACTGTGCCATCAAGAACTGGCAAGTTCATCCCTCTGACTTTTCCATTCTTGGTTGTAATTATGATGTCTTCTTCCGTGTGTGACTTCCCAATGAGCACCCAGAGCAGAAGAAACCGCAAGAGAAATTGGATGCTTATGATTGTACCCTTGCTCTGCATATTGATTTCTGAAAGAGAGGTGATTAGGGAGTTTTAAAAGCCTCATGCATCAAGTATTATATTTTATTTATGATAATTAATTAAAACACAGTAGTTATAATTAACCCTACCAATTATGAAAACTAATAAATCTGCTACCACTATTAAGGTTTTATCAAAAAAAAAAAAAAAAAAAACAGAAAATGCTTGGAGATATTTCAGTTTTCAATTTAGAATAGAAATAAGTGGAATGGAAAAGCAGAAATCATTTCACTTTGGAAAGATTCATTATCAAGTGTCTGCAAAGAAGATTTAGTATTTAAATGTTTTTAGTGTTTGTTTAGTTTTGAGAGAGAGAGAGGCAGAGAAAAATAGAGCACTAGTGGGGGAGGGGTATTGAGAGAAGGAGACAGAATCCAAAGCAGTCTCCGGGTCTGTCAGCACAGGGGCCTGAAGTGGGGCTTGAACTCAAGAAACGTGAGATCATGACCTGAGCCAAAGTCGGAGGCTTAACTAACTGAGCCACCCGGGCACCCTAGAAGATTTAATATTTTCAAGAGGAAGTTTGTCCCAGGCATATATATATATATTTCTCCACCATACATAGACCCACCAAAAGTGGAATTAAGTAGTAGTCAATTTATGACAGATATAATTTCTACCTTGGTTAGAGGAGGAAATACAAGCTTGTGTATTTTCTGAAATACGCACTGTTCTATTCATGGCCAGCTTAGACTTCTGTTATTGTATTTTTCTGTTTCCATGGTCCCTTCTGTGGTCCTTTCTGCCTCATGGTTTCTTCCTCTACACAATTCAGAAGAGAATTTGAACAATCTGTTCATAGAATACTAAGTAACAAAAATACAGCAGTTGTCATTTATCTTAAAAATTGTGAAAATGAACACATCTGTGACCCCTATAAAGAACTATGGGAAAAACTGGAAGAGAAGGCTGCAGACATATAACACACAAGTTCTGGAAAGTGAATAATGAAGAAATTCCTTCTCTATACCTGAATTACAATGTCAATAGAGAGAACCAGTAGCTGATAATATATCGTGTGGGAGAAGATAGTTTGAAGGAATTTAACACTCAGGTATTACTCAATGCACATCTATTATTTGTTAATTGATTAACAACTTGTGATTATAAATATGTTGACATGATCAGATTAGTTGCATTTTGATAGTGGACAAAATTAGTGAAATTAAGAGAACTAATGCTGAGAAATTACTGGAAAAGGTAGAAGAAAAAGCAATATTTGACATTTAAAAAATATTTATTGATGACATGAAGAGATTGCTTATGGAAATCAAAGTTTTATTAAAATTTCATAATTCACACTCGAATTTCTTTGAAATTAATAACATTTAAAATTCAGATTCTGAAACTCCAAATGACAAAGAGGGACACAAAAATGTAATGCCCATATCAATAAAAAAAACTACTATCTTTATATAATTGAAAGAAGACCTGATTAAAACGGTCAAATACAAACACTGACTCCATCCACACAATAATAACAAAGGTCCATAAATGTGCAAAATTTTTTTCTTTATTATTTTTGGTATTATAATTGTAAAACAATCTATGTGTCTAAGAAGCTAATCATGTGAGCATTGAGAAATTGTATTAGTGTGTGTGTGTGTGTGTGTGTGTGTGTGTGTGTGTGTGTGTTTAATTTAGATTATCTCAGAAGGCAGAGAAGAAGGCATCATCCTGAAAACTGTGCCAGAGTTATAATTTTCACATTTTAAATCAACCTCATTTACCACTGCTAATAGTGCAGCTAGTGATCAAAAAGTATTTCTTGAGCCCCCCAAAAGATCTAAATAAATTGATCAATTGTATACAGTATTTTGTTCAGTGTACTTATAGATCTCTTTATCTCTGCCTCTGTCTATATCTATATAGCTATACATGTAGATCTTATTCTTTCAATGTCCATAAGTATATGCATATTTTTACATATATGTCTATATATAATGATTATTATGGTAATCAAGTTTTAAAAAATCAAAATGTGAAATTATTTTATGTTCTCAAATTTGATACAATTGAATCTGTGTTAAGACCATTGAAATATATTATTGAAGTATATAATATCTTAATACCATTTCTATATTATATTATTTCTATACTATGATATATTTATATTATTTATGATTATATTATAGTATAATCTCACACTATTATGATAATGTAATAATAATGTAAAGTTTCCTGTAGACTTGACACTTACTAATGAGATTTTATATTTCTGACAGTTTAGGAGTTTTAGAGGCATGACTACCACAGTCTTTTTTTTTTCCTTTTGATAATTTCTAAGCCCTTTCTTTTAAATAAATTTCAGTGACATTTGGAGAACAAAATGCTGCAATGGATTTTTTTTCTTTTTTAAAAACCTGTTTGGGAAGGAAAAAAAGAATTAAGATACCAAGTGGGTTTACTTTAAGCTGCATTTCAATAGATTAATTGCAGCATCTCTGGTTGGCCTCATTCCTCCCTGGCTCAAGCTATGTTCTTCTGAGTCTGAAGCAGAGATTGTCTGGGCTTTTTTCTTGTTTTTATATAAATATTATTTTGCCTTTATTAACAAAACACCTAATGCTAATAATTTTGGTCTCTGATACTTTTCAAACATTTGTTGTACAGTTTATTAATTTTATTGCACAGCAAGTATAATACCACCGAAATGTTTTGTTTTTGCATGTAATTAATACATGCAATAATCTTCCTTGACTATTTAAAAAAAATATCTACTATAACAGTTAAAAGGTTGTCATATCATTCCCATGCCACTTAGCTTGATTTACATAACTGTTTCTTATATGGTTTTATTTATATTTGTGCTGAATAGGTGTTAATGTTGTATAGTATGATTCATCCAAATAATAACTAAGCTTGCTTTTTCAACCATTATCTGTGAGTCATCATCTTATAAATAATGTAATTAGGAACATTCAAAAAATTCATTGTAAGCATGTGTTCACTGCAAGAATGGTAATATAATTCCAACTCACTATCATGCTACCTGTTGGAATGTTTATACACCATATTATGAAATCTAGACTTTAATACAAAAATACTCATGTGCTCACATACTCATTGTTAGTGTAGGCTAATATTTTTATATTTAGCCGCAGCACTTATTTAAATAAGCATTTTCATAATCTGGTATTCTCTAGTCTAACAGGTTTCTCTGTAGTTTTACTACTAAGAGATATTTGTATTTTTAGTATATGCTATCACATGATTAAATAATCAAAAGATAAATAAAGGAGACTAAGAAAATTTTATTAGTTTGTATGTCTAAATCTTTATTTTTTAACCAAATTGATGTTTATTCATTTTTGATAGAGAGGGGTGGGGAGGGGCAGAAAGAGACAGGCACAGAATCTGAAGCAGGTTCCAGGCTCCAAGAGTCAGCACAGAGCCCCATGTGGGGTTCGAACCCACAGACTGTGAGATCATGACTTGAGCCGAAGTTGGTCACTTAACCAGCTGAGCCACCCAGTCACCCCATATATATCTAAATCTTTATTAATAATTAAACCATTTTCTTCAATAAATTCTAGTGCAAATTGGCTAATGTCACATTAAATAAACAATTTAAACTCTGAGAATACATAACACGTTTACTATAAAGAATAGGGAAAATTTTCATACCAAGAACAACTGAATATCTAAATTTAGATCATTTAACTTACTGTCATAGTTTTTGAAAGAAAGGCAGGAGTTTTTGTTTGGAATTGCAAAAGAAATTGAATGATGGAAGTGGGAAGAGGAAAAAGCTGAAAGATATTTAAGACTATAGTATTCTAAGGATATCAAGTGCTCTAGGATATCAAAATCTACTGGCCATCTTTGGAAAATATTCTAAACTTTGAATAGTAAAACTTTGAAAAATAAAAAAAAGCGAAAAATACATTTTTTGGATTTTTGATTTAATTTTGAAAGCATCAATTTTAAGAAATATGTTATGCTATAAGATATGGGTGTAAAACGATTGATAGAAAGAGCTATTTATTTGCCATAAATTTGCCATAGTTGATTATCAAACACATTTTCAAAATAATTGGCCACCCACGGTCAAGCAAATATTGATAACAGTTTTCTCTGAGTGTAATTTCTGTTTTTAAAAACAGTATAATATGTATTTCTATATAAAAATAAAGCTTCTTAAAATAGTCGGGCAAGAGACATCTAGATGATATGATCTAGAACAAGCGTCTCTAAGATGTATTTGGCCAAAGTAAGACAGTTAAACCTTTATACCAAACCTAAAAAGCTTGTTTTGTTGCAGGCTATCTGAAGTGGGCAATTGAGGAAGTCTGTTTATAATAGACTCTACCACTGCCTTTCAGGGATCTTTCTGATACCTTTTAGGCAATAAAAGAATGTGTACAGATAGAAGACACGATGTTACGTATTAGAAATGTTAAGATCTGTATCTCTCCTCAACTCGGAAGAATATTCACAAAGTCTTCCTTGTGTGAATAAATCAAACATTTAATATTAGAGAGATAACTTGGGTCTTCTTTGAAAGTTGAGTCTGGTCTTAGGTTGACATCTATTCAACTATAATTCTCTAACATCCTGTACAGTTCAGTTTCTAAGAATAAGCAGATTTTGGCATGAAAGCATCAGTATGAAGACAACATGTAATTTAAACATGTTATTAATTTTTATCAAAAAACGACTCAAAGCAGAAACTAAATTTATAAACAAGATGTGACTTGCTAAGATATTATTAACTTATATTTCAAAAACTGAAATGTGGAATAGATCTCAAACAGTTTCTTAAGGTTAAAGAAGCAGAGCATTAAAAACAAAAAACAACGAAAGAACAACAAATCTAGGAGAATAAAACAACTTTGCAAATCCAATTAGAAATTTTATTTGTCATTCAAAGATAATGTTATTTCAAAATCACAGAGAATTTCTGAAGATCTTCATTTAAAGTATAAAGACATTTAAAAACTCATGTTCATCCTTAAGAAAGTTCCTATTTACATAAATGAAATATAATTAAGCTTACCATCAGTATGAGATAGTTTATATTATGGAAGATATTACATAGACTAGGGATAGAAACTTCTGGTTGAGTTTATTACTATGTTATACACTCATAAAGATTGGGAAGGCCTACTCTTGAAATAAAAGGAAATTATATATGGAAATCATAAACAATGAAATAATTTTGTTCACATTTCAGTTTACTTTTATCATTCATACATATTACACTCAATGTTCAATACTCTGATTAAATAAGTACTGATATCATCAAAATAAGAGTAGATTTGCCAGACAACAGGATGAATAGAAAATCTATATTTCTAATTGTTTCCATAATAATAGTAATAATAGAAAATTTCCAATATTTTGCTATACTTTAAATGCACATATTAAAAAAAAAAGAGGACAAACAGGACAAAGGTGGGGGGAGTTCATAAATGAAATTAGAAAACAGAATTTTCTTTTAGATACAAGAAACTTACACCTCATTCTTTGCCAGTTTGATACTGGTAAAGTTTCAGATGACAAAATGTTGATTAAGAAAAGTACCCTGTCAAGCCAGACAATAAGAGGACTATTCATTTCTTTCCACTTAAAAAAGAAAAAAAATAGACTAAGACAGGTCAAAGACCACTTTTATTACCCTTTTCAGGAGAGATTCACTAAATCGTGCTTTTAAGGGCAAAATAGAGCATAAAAATATTTCCTTCAGGGAGTGCCCTGAGAACATACATCACAGTGATTCCACAAGTGCTGCGGTCCTTTACACAAAGTTGAATAAATTCATTATTTTCTCAGCAGTTAAATGGACTCAGTTTGCGTTCCTTGAATAATAGGCAGATTTGATGCATGTGTCTGCTGGCTCGCTTCATCTGTCCCATTTGCAATAACTGTCCTCCACAGAGCACCAAAGGGGCACAGCAGACCAGTGAAGGGATAACAATCCTCCTACAGAATGAGGTTCACCGCAAGTTGCATCTCTACACGAACACGTAAATTCTGAGCAGCTTACCTGACTCACTGCAACAAAAGATGATAAAGTTTGCAAGGAATGGAAGTCATGGAATACTTCAGGGAAATGCAGAATGCAGCTGCTGCTCCAGCCTGTAAATTGGACTGCACTGACATTACAATCAACTGTTACTGACAAAGCTCGCGAGAGTTGGCAGCAGCAACTTGATCTAGAGGCAGCCAATCTTTACACTCTGACATCTGTTCAGAGGCTAATGGTACGAATGCAATAGTGATTCATTTACAAAAGTATCACTAGATTCTTTACGAATTGCAGGCGCTAGTTTCAGAGTAAGGGGAAAAAAAGAGAAGCTGCTTTAACTAACAGAAGCTGATATTGAACAGAAAATGCACGTGTTTTCCTTTTTAAACACTACCAGAACTTTTAAGTGTTTTTCCTCTTTTATAGAATATGAAATTTTTGTGCTTATTTTAAGATTTAAAGACGTGCACATTGTCCTGAAGAAGTGTGGTATTGAAATTCTTTGTACCTTCAATCTGTGCCTTGCATGTAGTTATAAAGGAGTGCAAAAGAGGAAATAGGAAACAAAATAATTACTCTGTAGATAAAACTATGCAAATCAAAAGATTACTTATACTAACTGAATGTATGTCTCTATTAGTTATGTCCTTTCAAGCACTGTGCCCCGATACTTTCTTTAAGTTATACAAATCTCAGCATTGGTAATTTCCTATTCAGGGGCCCTGCAAGCAGTCAAGTGTGATGAGAAGCAACAATTTTCTCGTCAAAACAAAAATACAATGAACAATCTTCACCAAACTCTTAAAAAGACACATTTATCAGCTGGAAGAGTATGAATTCCCAGGGATGTATTTATAACTTTCGGGCTTTTATCTTCCTTGAAATATATATTTAGGAAAATGAAAAAAATAAACTTGAATGCCTCTTTCTCAGTGCAGTTATTTCTTTATCTGTTGCAAATGAGTTTTAACTTTTAAATCTCTCACTATTGGGCTCACTGAGGACTAATCAGTAGGCATGTACTTATAGATAAACCCATTTTTGTTTTTAATATTGTGCTGAAATATCAAACATGCAAACATAAGAGCTGTCATTTGTTATGCATACTATCTTGTTCCAGTCATTATAATAGACAGTTACATAAATTATTTTATTTTATTCCAAAAAATATATAAGTTAAATATCACTAGTCATATTTCTCAATGAAGAATCTAAGGCTTACAAAGATAAGAAACTTGTTATATATCCTACCGCTAGTAGTTGTTGGAATCAAAATTTTAACTTTGATTTGCCTGATGTCATGTCACGGTAACCGTTTCTAAGATAACAGCAATTTTGGTCTTAAAAATGATCTTTTCTGCAAAAATTGCTACCCAGGAGGTATTTATGACATAAAAAATTTCCAATCACAATGATCCCTAATGCATTTAGAATGTAGTTTATATAATGATTACCTAGTCACAAAAAAAGTTACAAAATACACGGTCTATCTAAAAGGAAGGAGGGCTTTTTAAAAGGGAGTACACTGACAATTAAGCAATGCTTTGTAAAGTGATGGCATTTCTGTTTAAAATGTAGTCATTCTAGCGAAAGAGCATTCATTGGTTTAATAAATGTGATTTGGTATGCAAATGTCAAAACTCTCTCCAACACAGCTCTTTTGCACTGTTTTCTGGACCAGCATGACTTATTCTCAAATCCTGCAATTGTCAAGGGATGTTTTTGATATTAGCGAATTCGGCAGAGCATTTTGCACACTCCTACTATCCATTCACCACCAGGTAAAATATAGCACATGGATACACATATTTCATTTTCATCTGGTAAACAAGAAGCCAAACAATAAAATAATCTGTTGCAAGCAGATTTTTATTTTGAACACATGTTTGCGTTGGCTGACTAGCAGCATCAGCTGACTACAAAACCTGGCAATTTTTCCTCAGTTCAGTATTTTCACTTCAGTGAAGCATCTTCAGCCACTGCCCCTTTAGTTTGTTTTCTTTGATTTCTCAGCTATCCTACATTATCTGATGCATTATTTCAGTGCATTTCTTCCTCCTGTTTTATTTGAAGGTTTCTTCCATTGTGGCTCAACATACAATGTAGCAGGAATCTCGCAGAGTCCTCACACAGAGACTTTTCTTTCCAGGAAGCAACTTTATTCCTGTCAGCACTGCTCAGTTGGGTTCATACCAGAAGAACTGAGCCCCGAAGGAACATCCCGTGGCACAGTTTTTTTTGTTTTTTTTTTAAATACATTTTCTATTTCTTTGTCTCCCATATATGGTAACACACACAATATTAAGTAGTCTCAGTTTACAAGGTCATGAGGGTCATGAGGGCACATAGCCAGGTTACCTTGAATTTTTTTTTCTTTTCTCTCTCTTTTTTCTCTTAGGGAGGGCACCCTACCACATTCCCCCCTTTGATGCTCAAAACCCTCTATTTTGGGTCAAAGAGCATCATCTTGGTTTAGAGGTTTATATTTTTATAGCATTATTACATGAATGGCCATCCTTTTTAAATCATGGCCTCAGTGAGACTGGAGACAGACTGTACAATCAAGGGAGCTAAGCAGGGTAAGATTAAGCACCCTCCCCAAATTAGAAGGGTAATTCCCACGAAGGTTTTGAATCCCCTGAGAGTTGAAAACCATCCTCTAAATAACTCCCCGGGTTTCCAACCATTCCAAGTCTGGACTGGGACTTGAGCAACCTTTCCCATTTGATCTGTGATGTCCTCTGTGACTTTTCCCTCATCATCTCTCTGTAGGCAGCAGTTGCTCAGGTTAAGTTTTCCACAAACACCTCCCTCAGAAGCAAAGCAGGTAATCTAAGGCCAAGCGATTTTGATAGATGGCCTTGTGCACTTTGGTTTGCCGCGTGGCTAGTAAGTTAAGAGCTCTGGCAGTTTCATTGGTTATAATTTCTACAACTGCTTGCAGTCTGATTATGTGGTTTAGCATGTAAATGGGAGTGCAGCAGCCCCAGGACCCATCCTCTGCCCAGTTGGCAGGGCCATAATACTGGATTATATGCTCAGGAGGCCATTTATCATCTTTTTAATTGCCAATTTGTAAAGCACACTGCTTCCTGTGAGTCTCCCTGTCCCTATACACTTGGACTCCCAAATATTTCCCTCTGGCAAGTGGGAGCAGGAAGAAAGATGGATGAATAGTTTCCAGCACATATGACCCTGACCAGACTGAGGGAAGTATTATATAGGATGTCCTTCCACAGATCTAGTATAGTCCACCTGGACCTGCCATTTGATGGCTGTGACATTGTCTCAGGCCTCTCAGAGATGAGACAAGTTAGACAAGAGGTGGGGATCTGGCTCAAGGTGATCTGGGGTCCCCCCCGACAACTGGGTTTTTCGGGTAGTTGAGTTATAAAATCTTTGGCGTAGGCATGTTAAGTTTTTAAAAGAGACAACAGTGAACTTTTTCCCCACTACTCAAGACAGTTTTTCCCAATAATTGAGCTCTTGAGAAGCCAAACCCCAGTAGTAGGCCTGGGGTGTTTTGTTTTACTATAAGGTTTGTGGGGATCTAATTTTCTAGGCTCTAATGGCCATTGTTGCCCCATGTCAGTGGCAATGAAATATCCTTTCCACAAAAGGAAGGTGAGTGTCAACAGAAACCTCTCACCACATTTCCAGCTGGCCAGGCAGCCTTGGCCTATCTTATGGCAAAGAGTAGAGCAAGAATCACAATAATAGTGAGAACTAAAGCGTGACAATGCATCAGAGTAAGGAAACAGATATAGAAAATAAGGACAGTCTTTCGTTTCGCCAGATCGTGGATTCCTCAAGCTTTTGCCGTACGTAGATTAGCAGGACTCCAGTCTGTTGGAGCCTGGGGAGTTGCAGATCGCTTCTTCCTATGGTCAGCTTGCACAGCGTTGATGAATCAGGAATACACTCCCAGTTTCGAGAGGGCAGCTTCACTCTGCTGTTGTGAATCCAGGGACCCACTTTGGCCACCTTTACTGCAGTAGGGGTGGACAAAATGGCAGTGAATGGGCCCCTCCAGAGGGGTTTTAGGGTTTGGTTTAGGGTTTCACTCCTTTATCCATATTGCATCTCCTGGTTTAAAGGGGTGAGTGTCTGTGGTCAGATTCATATGTTATTGCTCCCTGACTCAGTGGTGTAAGGTGGTTAAGGTAAAGCCAAGGGCCCGCATCTGTTGTCTTAGGGTTAGATTCCCTGTCTCACTTAGATCCCCCTGCCTTATGCCCTTGGTGCCCATAAAGGATTTTATAAGGGGAGAACCCCGTCTGCTTTAGCCTCCCACCTGCAGTTGCAGTCTGCCTCCCTGAAGGTCCCTTATCTCTCCCTGCCTAATGTTAACCCTTTCCCTATGTATTTCTCCCCTGAAATAGGGCCTGTAACTGCTGTTAGGAAAAAGGGATGATGACTGCTCTGGCTTCTGCAAGCTGATAAGGGGCGATGTAGGGTATAGCAGTTAGAGTCTTCCCAAGGGTCAGTCAAGTGGCCCACAGTATGGTTTTATAGGAAGGCTGGCAGGCATAAGAGAGCATAAACGTTAGGAGACACAAAGAGAAAAACAAAGTAAAGATTATATTGACCAACAAGATGGCATCTTAAGATAATGTATATAGTTTCCAAACCTGTCCAACAATCTAGGAGAGACCCTGGCTATGTAAACATATATCAGGGAATCTCTCATAACCCAGGTGATGGAGAAGCAGGAGCAATAAGTAATTAATGGTGGTTCTATTTTTAAGAGTTTGGTCCTAACTTACTTTAAAAAAAAATTAAAGCATCTAATGCTTGTGAGGTGTTATTTAGAGATTTCCTGAGTATGGGCTGACAGTTTGCTTTATTTTGAGGTGTAAAACTTTTCCAAGAGCAAGGCGTTCTCCTAGAGAAAGAGTCAAGGCAGCTATTTACCATTATTAATTGGTAAATTTTTAGGTAAGCCAAACCTGGGTATTATTTTATAAAGCAGGATTTTTATTACTTTTTGTGCCTTTTCTGTCTTGAAGGGGAAGGTCTTTACCCAATTAGTAAAAGTATTGAAACCTAATTGTCAGTCTTTTCTGGAGAGCCTCCAGTTTCTTGATTGCCTGGGAGA